CATGGTTTTCAAATGTCTCAGATAAAACTACTGAGTCCTTACATATATTATGGACACTCAAAAATGTCACTTTATTCCTTAGGGTTCTATGTGGTAAAATGCTAAGGGAGAATAATTTCTCTCTTGACTTCTTTCATATGTGCTACTAGGATGAGTCTAAAAATGCATGCCACAATCCTATATCCAAAGATGTGGTTCTCAAGCTAAATTCAAGTTCATAAATCACACTCACTAAGGTTCCTAGAAAACTAGAAGGATATACAGAGGCCAGCTTATCTGGGAAACCTCTCCTAAAGACAAAACAAACAAACAAACAAAAAACACCAAAAATCCTAATCAAGAACTTCCCCCTACCAATTTTTGTTAAAAATTCATGATATCCCTTATCTGAGAAAATAAATTAAAATTTATTTAAAGTTAAAAAAATTTAAATATTAAAACTCAGTGTTTCCAAATAGATTGGAGGTCTGAGATATAAGTAGTGAGAATGATTTTTAACTGTAAAGTTGTAACACTTGCTCTCTCTGAATACAGGTGTCATGAAAGGTTTGGCTTATTTGATATGGAAAGGGAACCTATGTTAAAAGAAAGGATGACTCTCAGAAAAACACCGGACAATCCATTCAATCCCAGGACAATAGAGAAGAGCATGAGGCGTCCACTGGTGCTGACATCCCCCCACCCTGTTCACTGACTATCGGAGGCCAGTGGTGCCTATTCATGGACTTCAAACCTGCAGCTGCCCAGTGGTTGAAACTTACAGCTGCAAACTTGCATTTCATAACATGTATTTAAAAAATAGGATCATCACTGACAGGCAATGTGTAATCAGGCCTTTCTGCATTCAGGCAGTCACAGGTACCTGTCTCCACTTATAGACTAGGCTTACACTCTTAAGTCTGTAAGTGGCTTCAGTGACATCAGACTGGAAAGAAATTTAAAAACTATTTAAGTGAATTGGCATCATGTGTCCCCAAAGTACCAACTTATCTACTGCTATGCACAGAACTAGTCCTCTTAGGTCTTTGTACTTACTCCTGATTTTCTTTTGCCACTTCATCTCATTGTAGAGATCTTCTGTTTGCTGGAAGAAGTCATTCACTTTGCTTCCTTGTTCATCCCTCTCAGTTGTATTGAACACACGGCACTTGGATTCACGAGTGAGGAACTCACAAATATTGGGGACAGGAAAAACGATTTGCTCCATGGTCCTGTCATGCCGAACAATCTGAAAACAATAATTTGCATTTGATTTTAGCCTTTTGCATACCCGAGTCTTAGACTATTATTTAATTTTCAGCATGAGTTTATTTACTAATATTTTATGAATCCAGTATGAAAAAAAATGTGCTGGCTTAAAATTCCTAAAATAGTCCTTTACTGTACTTTATTTTGCATTTTACCTTTAAATAAAATAAGAGCAATTAATTGACATAGTAGCATACTGTATTACAAATAAGAAAAAATTAATCTTTCATTCTGAGTTAGCATTAAAGTTTTGCCATCTATTTTTTTTTTTCATGAAGTACACCAGAGAACGAAGACTGTCTTAATTAGCAGGTGACTGGCTGTCGCCTCAAACCCAGCCCTTAGCATATTTGTGTTTTATTCCTGGTCTGTTCTTCCTGAGAGGGATCTTGGGTAACAAGTGACATTCAAGTGCATCCTCAGTTCTACAGGGAAAGGTGTTTCATATTATTAAAGTGTTCTCCTATGCATGGCAAAACCTATTTTTGTAGGAACAA